TACACCCTGTTCCAAAACGGCATGTACTCCTCGCCAACATGTTCCTGCATTTTCGCGGATGCAGAAAATTGCATTTTGCTCCTACTTTTCCATATTTGCATATTCCTTTAGCGTAGAATTTGCAAATATGTTCAGTTTTTGCATTTTTCAAGGTATTTATACCTGTGCCTGTCTTGTCTACCTCTTTATTGGAGCCATCTCCGTCTTTCGTCCCAATTCCCTCATTTATGCACTCTGTCTCACTGTTGCTCTCATCGTTTATATTATCTGGCTCTGCAATATTGCTGTTATTTTGTACCACAATACCCTCTTCCTCCACACTACTGCTGCGGTTCTCTATCACTCATCTTTTGGTTCGTGCTGGACCCCATCACCCATCCTCTGGCTCGGTGAGGTTCCCATCACCTATCCTCTGGCACATGCTGGATCCCATCACCTATACTCTTGCTCGTGCTGGACCCTATCACCCATCTTCTGGCTCGTGCTGGACCCCATCACAAATCCTCTGGCTAGTGCTAGACCCCAAGAACAATACTCTGGCTCGTACTGGATCCCATCACCCATCTTCTGGCTCGTGCTGGACCCCATCACCCATCTTCTGGCTCATGCTGGACCCCAAGAACAATACTCCTGCTCGTGCTGGACCCAATCACCGATCTTCTGGCTCGTGCTGGACCTCATCACCCATCTTCTGGCCCGTGCAGGACCCCATCACACATCTTCTGGCTCGTGCTGAACCTCATCACCCATCTTCTGGCTAGTGCTGGACCCCAGCACCGATCTTCTGGCTCGTGCTGGATCCCATCACTCTTCCCGAGGCTTTTGTGCCTCGATTGCCAGTTTATCTCTCCATTCTTCATCATTCCCCCCCCCCCCCCCCCAACGCAATGGGTGTACTGGTTTATTCAATCTGTTAAATATTTCCTTTTGGTAGAAGTCCCTAGTATTATGATTTTAGCTAGTATTCCTCTTATCACTATATCTGCCTTTTCCATTTCCTTTAAACAATTCTCATTGTATTTATCACATTCTTTCCAAGGTTTTCTATTGTTTGGTGGGGGATTGTAAATCACTATCTTTATATCTTCTATTGTTGATATTCCTTGCACAAACTCTTCATGTCCCAAACAACAACAACAATAGTGCTGGTCAGATTATTCTCCTAATTTTACTTCTTCAAATTCTCACTGCAGGTGTAGCAACTGGACTACACCTCCATCACCAGGGGCGAGACGTATGAGCAAGTCTCTTTACACAAAATGCTTCTGTTCACCTAGCAGTGATTACGAACCTGTTTGTTAGTTACTGTTCTGGGTCGCATCCTGGGGAATCGTCAAATGCTGCATATATCCGAGGTATATTCGAATATCCCACAAACGCTGTAATACACAGCATGAGGAAAAAGGCCAGAGGTTCCGGTTACACATACCATATGCCACAAGGCATAGAAACTAGAGGTACAAGGCCACTGCAACGAGTAGGCCGGAAGGTCCCAGAGTACAAAAAAAGGGTTCATGCCCAAACAAGTTAATTACCTCTCACCTCTGTTCTCCCTGTCTTTCATTATTATTAATATCCTTATGGGAAGATTGCATTTTCTAAAACACTTGAAAGTTTTGTTTCTGTTATCACAATAATGTGTGAGGTTATTCTTCTGTCACTCTTTCCTGTAACTCTATCCCTTTATTTGTAACTAACAGTACCTGGCCACGCGTTGCTGTGGCTCAGTGACGCATGTGCGTTACTGAGCCACAGCAACCTTCCCTGTACCCTAGTCCTCCCACCATTTCCCCCCTTACCAGTCTCTTCGGCCTCAAAACCATTCCCCACTCCACCATCCCCTCGTCCTCCCTACCATTCCCCACTCCACCATCCCCTCTTCCTTCCCATAATGCGCCACTCCCCTGTCCCTTTGTCCTCCCCACCATTCTCCATTCCCCCATCCCCTCGTCCCCACCATCCCAAACTTCCCTGTCCCCTCGTCCTTCACCACCATTACCCCCTCCCTTCTTCCCTCGTCCTCCCCGCCATCTCTCACTTCCATCCCCTCGTCATTCCTCACTCCCTCGTCCGATGCCTTTCCAAATAGTCTGATGTTCCCATCAGAAAATTGGAAACATCTGATGTTCCCATCACTGAAATATAAGAAAAACAGTTAAAAATGAAATGAAAATATGAAAAAATTTAAAAATAAACTATACTCACAAAATGAACATCTGGTAAACAACACAGCTCAATTCCAATGCAATTCACACAAAATAATTAAACCAAAATGAAAATAAATCAAAATCTGTGAAAATTCAATTTATCAATGCAATCAGAAACATTGGAAACGAATTGTAACATATCTAGTATAGCATGTGAGTTGCTCTTACTTGCAACAGATGGCGTTGTTTTTTAAGAAAACCATAGTTTTACCTGTCATGGGTGTGGCATCTATACTTATACTTACGAAATGAACGGTATGGAAAACAATACAGCTCAATTCCAACACAATGTCACACAAAATAATTCACTAAAAAAAATAAAATAAATCGAAATCTATGAAAATAAAATTTATCAATGTAATCGGAAACATTGAAATGGAATTCGTGACATTTTTAGTATAGCGTGAATGTTGCCATTATGTGCAACAGATGGCGCTGTTCTTTAAAAACGCATGTTTTTACCCGTCACAGGGGTGGCATCTATATAGTAGTTATATAAAAAAACGCGCCTATTCCAATGCAACGTTGTGTCAAATTTTCAAAGCAATCGATGAAAAGGTTTCGAAGATTTCACTAACACGAAAAACACATGAAAAACACAGTTTTTCAGAAAAAGCATGTATTTTTTCCGTCACAGACGTGACATCTATACAGTATGTATATAAAAACCTGCTCGGATGCGAATCGAACATTGTGTGAAAATTTCAAAGCAATCGGTGAAGAACTTTCGGAGATTAGCGATTTTGAACAAACGAACATTTTCATTTTTATTTATATAGATTCCATCTGCATTTGTGTACTCATAACTTTTATGCTTCTCATAACAATTGGGCTGCTTTTGTTTTTGTTCATGTGGATGCATTTCTCTATCTGATAGTGGAATGGGGGGGGGGAGATAATGATCAAGTCACTAATTCTTTCTCGTTTGTGTGGTTGCGTCGTTAAGCTGGGCACCCCTTGTTTAATCAAGGGCAGCTCTTGTTTAGTCATTAAACTGGTCAGTCCCACTATTTCCCTGTGTACTATTCTCCGCTGTCAGATTTGCTTCTTCCTGTGCTCTGTCTGTGTTCTTTTCTAGTCTTCTTGCATTTCTCATTTGCTTTTCTTCCCTGATCCTCTTTGCTGTCTTCCTATCCTCCTTAGACGAGTTCTGTGGTGGTGGAAGTGGTGGTAGTAGTAAATGTGGTGTTGATAGTTGTGGAAGATGTTGGGTACGTGGTGGTGGTAACGGTGGAGTGTGATTACATTGGTGATTTGAATTGGCTGTGGGAACTTTAGAGTTGGTTGTGGTAGTAGTGGTATTGGAATTAGTAGAGATGGTAGTAGTCTTGGTGGTCGTGGAAGTTTGTAGTGTTGGTGGTTGAGGTCGTGGAGGCTGGTAGTGATGGTGGTAGTTCCTATCCCATCGCTGCCACCAGTATTGGTTACCTCCTTGGATATATGTGGTTCTTGCCGGGTAGTAGATAATACACAGTCGATCACTTCAGCAGTTTATTGTGTTAGGTAATAAAGTATATATCTGGCCTGCCGAGGTCCTACCTAACTCTGAGGTTTGTGAGATACTGACTGGTCACCAGAACGGCTAGTACCAGCTCTCTGTGGAGAATGACGTCAGAGGCTTACATGATTGTGATTGGCTATCACCAACCGTCGTACAATTTGAGTACTAACAGGTGGTGATGGTGGTAGTGTTGGTGATGGTAATGAATGTGATGATACAGATGGTGTTAGTGATGGTAGTATTGGTAGCAGTGGTAATGGTGGTGGTAGTGTCAGTGACGGTGGTGGAAATGGTCGTGTCGAATGTGTTGATAGTAGTGCTTGTGTTGGCAGTAGTAGTAGTAGTAGTAGTAGTAGTGGAGGTAGATGGTAGTGGTAATGATGGTGTTAGTGTCAGTGGAGGTAGTGGTAATGGTGATGGAAAATATATTGGTAGTGTTTGCGTGTGACGATAATGGTTATGGTGGTGGTGGTTGTTAGTGCTGGCATCACTGTGTAGCCTTAAGGTAAACGTTCATAAAGGAATTCTGACATGGGAATATACATCATACTGTCCTCACACGTTTATGACATGGATACATACATCATACTGTCCTCACACGTTTATGACATGGATACATACATCATACTGTCCTCACACGTTTATGACATGGATACATACATCATACTGTCCTCACACGTTTATGACATGGATATATACATCATACTGTCCTCACACGTTTATGACATGGATACATACATCATACTGTCCTCACACATACTGGATACATACATCATACTGTCCTCACACGTTTATGACATGGATATATACATCATACTGTCCTCACACGTTTATGACATGGATATATACATCATACTGTCCTCACACGTTTATGACATGGATACATACATCATACTGTCCTCACATGTTTATGACATGGATATATACATCATACTGTCCTCACACGTTTATGACATGGATATATACATCATACTGTCCTCACACGTTTATGACATACATATACATCAAATTGAATACATACTCCTGGCATTGATAAATAATTGGAGTTGATAATTGCGAGACAAATGGTTGCCAAAATTACCTTGTTCATGGTACTGAGAAATAATAATGTAATATTTATCAGAATAGTATTGTATTATTCTTCTACGATTATTAGTCACACGCCTTGTGTATTCCTGTGGGCCGATATTGAAATACATAAACTTTAATAATATTTCAAAGTTAACAAATGAAATTGAATACCATTATAAGAAGAGCGATAATGAGAGCAGTAATAAATATATCTGGCACAGGTGCTGGAGGACGAGACGCTACAGAAGGTGGCCTCTGAGTTCAACTTGTCGGAGACAGCATATTTGGTTGCCCTGGAGGGTGAGGAGTCAGCTCCCTGGACCAGCACGTGCCGCTACTCCCTCAGGTGGTTCACACCCGTCCAAGAGATCCCTCTCTGTGGGCACGCCACCATAGCCGCCTCACATGTTCTCTTCCATGAGCTGGGTAAGTCTCACTCTCTCTCTCCCCAATCAACCCATCCTCCTGTTAGATACTACTCTTTGTAACTATGTGGACCATCATACTGTAACACCACCATAAATGTGTCTTATTTAATATTTCAAACATAACGAGTCAGTCACACAGTCGATTGGCGGCGCCAAACAGTCACCCTATATTATTCTAGAGTCACGCCTTTCAGGTGTTAATTGTCAGAGGTGTAATAGGGATCAGGTCGTGTGAAGTGACCTTGATTTCTGCTAAGCTGATAATTGCAGACGGGTAGCTGGGTTGTGTTCATCAAACAAGCCTCTGTTTAAGGTGTAGAAGGTAGAGCCTGAGGCTATCTACTTCGTAGGCAGAGCTTAGCTCCAGGAGCCCCCATAAATACCCTATGGAATGCTTGTGGAATACACACAGGCACAGAAGGATTGACAATGAGCAGGACAGCAAGATAGATCGCCTGTCACAAGGGCGCAGCCAGACCAGGCTGTCAGGCCGGGTGGGGACTCTGTCAACCATAGCCTCTGTTATGAGTTTGGTACTGCTTTGGAAAGGTGGTATTGAGAGGGCCTAAGGGAAAACTAGGAGTTCCTAAAATCAGTGGAGATCAGATAGGCCCGGCCCCCAATGAGAACATAAAACAATAATAAATTAATGGCTTAAAGAAAATACGTCAGTCTAGCTGACGTATTTTCTACGTTTAAAATAAACGTATTTTCTAGCTGATCCCCTGTGAAGGGGAGCCCTGATCCCCTTCACAGGGAGAATGGAAACTCCTTTAATAGTACTTATTTATTAAACCCTCTTATAACCCCCCATATACATTAATAACAATAACTTCTTTACCACACGATCTTACGTTAACTACCTTAGTCCACATAGACAGGATACAAGGCTTACACTTGGGCAAAAGCTAGGGTAAAGTCTACTTGAAGAGAACTCGAAGGCTTGAAGCAGCCTGGGGTAGTTAAGCCCCACGTGGCACCCTAGTCACAACACAATATACTTTTGGATGCCCCAACCACTGACTTATACTACACAATATGTGTCAATAAAATACACAAACCTAGCTAGTAGAACTATAACTTAATAATTATTTAACTTAACTGTGAAATACCCAGCATGAGGTAAGGGAAGAGAGGAGTAGGAAAAGAAGGAGACAGGGCCAAACAGGATAGGTGTTGACTCAAGCCCAGTAGCCCAGAGAAGAGTGCAGCAGGAGCCTCCAGTCTTCGAGCTCCCAAGTTGTTGTTGTTGTTGCTGAGAAGATAACCTAACTGATCGTGCAGCTACAAACAATACAAGTCTTCACCAGCCTTCGTTACTCATTACTTTACTAGTTCTAAGAATAGCTGATAACTATTCAATATTTAATAATCAACAACAAGTCCAGAGTCTGAATGCTCTGTGAGAAACAAGATTCTTCTTACGTCTGGCAAGGAAGATCTATCTTGAGGTTATCTTGAGATGATTTTGTTTTTTTTTAGTGTCTACGCGGCCCTGTCCTCGACCAGGCCTCCACCCCCAGGAAGCAGCCCGTGACAGCTGACTAACTCCCAGGTACCTATTTTACTGCTAGGTAACAGGGGCATAGAGTGAAAGAAACTCTGCCCATTGTTTCTCGCCGGCGCCTGGGATCGAACCCAGGACCACAGGATCACAAGTCCAGCGTGCTGTCCGCTCGGCCGACCGGCCCCCTTTAGATAAGATAGGAACAAAAACGCATCAACAATCCTATCAAATAATGTAAAGTAATTATTTAGAGCTCAATTTGACCTCTGGTTTCCAAGAGGGTGGCCCTGTGTATTCTGCTGAGTCGACAGATGCAGCCGCGACCTGTACGACTCTGAAGCGAACTCGAGTTTTATGAAGTAAAGTCAAGACAGGGGTTCAGAGTGTGTAGAGACTCGAACGACTCTCCAGTCACTGGATGTGTACACCACCAGCAAGCAGGCAGACTCAGGAGGTACACACACCCCTTGGTATGATCTTAGGGCATCCTGAAGGAAAGGGCCTTCGTCTTTAAGTGTAGCGTCTTTAAGGGAAATTTGAGAGAACTGAGGGGACGAGTAAATGTTCCTGGGCAACACGAAGTTTACCTATTATTGAGACAGTGTTATTTATGTAGCAACAGTGAGGAACCAGATTAGAGGTCCCTGGGTAACAGGAAGCTGGCCGATTTGTTGAGAGACAGTGATATTTGTGCAGCAGTAGTGATTAAGACCCCGGGCAGTTATATAAGATCCGGTCCTTCACAGTATCACCGATATTAAGCCAGCAGTGAAGTACTTGGGGTAACCAGTCAGTATATATAGTAGCAGAATTCGGGGGTCAAGATTGCCATGGACTATCTGTGAGAACGGCCCAGGTAAAGCAGCAGTTTTGGGGTCAGTGGGTTGAGCCCCAGGTGGTCAGATTAGAGCTAGCCTTCATGGAGTAACCGACAGTGATGGTAACTTAAGAGATTAATTGAGTATTCCCAGAGACCACGAGAGAGTTTAGGCCAGTGAATAAAATTTCAGGGCGCTATGTTGTGTATACAAGTTCCAGGGTTTATTGTAATATATCTTGAGGTTATCTTGAGATGATTTCGGGGCTTTTTTAGTGTCCCCGCGGCCCGGTCCTCGACCAGGCCTCCACCCCCAGGAAGCAGCCCGTGACAGCTGACTAACACCCGGGTACCTATTTACTGCTAGGTAACAGGGGCATTCAGGGTGAAAGAAACTTTGCCCAGTTGTTTCTGCCTCGTGCGGGAATCAAACCCGCGCCACAGAATTACGAGTCCTGCGCGCTATCCACCAGGCTACGAGGCCCCTGACAGTCAGTGGTTTGTACAGGACGTGAGAGCCTAGGAATTAACTCTAGTATAAATGAGATTTTTTTGTGTGTGTGGTTGAGCTACATAAGATTTGGAGGGATAAAATAAATCCACTTATGCATAGCTTGATGACACGATTCTGTAGACACCCTTCATGTCCATATTTTATAATCACTTAAGAATACCAGGTTGCAAATAGCCTAGACTATCAGGGATGTCAAAGGTGAATATTACTTTATCAGATGTTTACATTTTATGTTTAGATTTACTTATGACTAATTATGCTTCATGGGACAGTCCCTTGTCTTTTTGGAGCCTTATGCTCCTGCTGCCATCTTCACAAATTATGCTCAGTGCATTTTCCTCTTCCTTATGTTTAATTCCCCCCCCCCCCCATCTCCTTTCTGACTGTCATTTCCCGCCGACTTTTTTGTAATTTTTTATAATTTTTCATGTCTTCTGTTTTGACACCAGTTGTTTAGGGAAGGCACACACTTGCTCACCCGTAAAACTGTGGTATCTAACGCTTTAAGCAAGGGGATGCTTTTGTGTTCAGTCTTTGCCTTCATTGCTGAACCTGATTTCGATGGACTGACTGTTCTTTAGGTGGAGATTAAAGGCCGTATACCCACAATGCACCCTTGGAGGGCCCCGTCTTGTCGGGTGACCTATTCTCTAATTGTGGCTCCATGATGTATATGGGGACTTCTTCATGGATAAAAAAAAATTCCCGTTCGTTTATATGCCGATGTCTGATCCTCTTTTGCCTTCTCTTTCTCGTGGGGTGGGCGAACAGGCTCCTGAATTGGACTGTGGTGGAAGGCCATGTTCAGTAGTCTCTATTACATTGGGCCCAGACCAAGCAGCTTCTCTGACTCCCGACTACCCCTCTCTGCTTCACTCCCACCTCTGTGGCAGGTTTGAGCCCCATGCCCCCAGTGGTGACCACCTCATCACCTAGAGTGGCTCCACCTCTCATTGTAAGAACTGCACCTCTTACCCCCCCCCCCCCCCCTTTTTTCTGGGGATACTCGGCGCCGTCATTTCTGCAACTTCACTACATGCTTTCTTCCAGTTCTACTACATTTCCAAGCTTTGTTTGGTCCTGCTACATGGACTAAGTATTTTCATCTAAGTCATGTTGATTCTACACATCCTGATGATTTATTCATCCATAAACACCTAGTTGATTCGGTGAATACTTTTGTCACTTTTAACCTCACCCATACTGGTACCCATGTTGCTGCAGCTCTTTCTCAGAAAGCTGCTGACTGCTTAGTCTCGTTGTTATGCACTGGGGAGACCCCTGGTTGGCTCTCCAAAAATGCTCGGGCAAATGCCAGCATTGGCACAGATATTCTCCCGAACCATGTTGCAAGTGACAGGGAACTGAAAGTTACCATGAGGATATTAAATATGTCTTCGAGGCCCAAGGCCATTCTATCCTCTAGATTGATACGTTCATTCGATCCCCCTCGTGATCGTCGCCGTCAGCCTCTTTGCATAGAGAAGATCACTTTTGATAGTAGGTCTCTTCCGTCTTCTGTAATTCTTGCTGGTGCCAGATGCTCCATTCAGAAGTACATCCCCGCTCTTTGCCTCTGCAATAGGTGTTGGAGATTTGGGCATGGTCCTGGATTCTCTTTGGTGGGTACATATCTTAGTTTGTACCCAGCTGACGACTCTTTGATTTCCTTAATACAGTTACTCACGTAAGGAATTTTGCTATTGTTGTTTCTCACCCACTGTAGTACTGCCTCATTTTCTGACCATACCACTGTTTCTTCAAAGTAGATGTTACTTAAAGTTTTGGTCAGATAATGAGCCAGTCTAACTCCTAACAGTAGGGCAGTTAATTCTAATTGTGGCAATGACCGTTTCATTAACGGTGCCACCCTTGCTTTGGGTACAAGCAGATTTGCCTGCTCGTCTGTTAATAAATAGGCTACAGTGCGATAAGCCTTTCCTGAGGCATCACAAAACACATGTAACTCAATAGGCTGGTTAGCCTTTATGGTGTTACGAGGAAACTTGAGGGATTCTAGGGCACTTGGGTCCGTTGTGAGTTGCTGCTAATTTTCTTGTAGGGCAATTGTTATTGGATCGGCCCATCCTATCTTGTCTTGGCATCATTCCTGCTTGTTCAACTTACCCTTGATTAATATAGGGCTTAATAATCTCAAGGGGTCGAAAGGCTTGCAGACTTGTCATAATAGTTTCCTCATGGTTATGTTGGTGGTATCTTGCTCAACCGATTTACTGGTCAACTGATCCGAAGTT